TCAGACTCACTAAACTCCCAGCCTTACCGGAGGTCAGGGTGAATCCAGGCAAAGACACTCCCAGTGGGCAGGTCCCCCCTCTTCCCCTGGATGATCAGGAAAAGTGAGTTGTCACATACAACCTAAAAACTAGTTCTATTACTGCTGTGTTTTGTGCATGTGCTGAAAACCACATAGATAGATGGAGAGGTGAGTGTACAGATAGAATCTTAAATGTTGGGCTCATTTTTAGCAGCAACTGGACAGCTCCCTGCTCTTCCCCACTCCTCCCTGCTCCTTGTAATTCCAGCTGCCTGACCCTTTGCAGACTATGTCTTCCTGTCAGGCATTTCCAAAGGCACTGCCTGCCCAACAGCCTGCAGCTGGACTCACCAAGAGGGGACTGAGGCCCGCCCCAGGCCTTCTCCGTGCCATGTGACTGACCATATGGCCAACAGAGGCAACCTAGGAGAAAAGGCAGGGCCAGGGTCATGAACAAGGGGCCTACAACATGGACATCCCTCACTCAGCACTTCCTGGAGCCAGCAAGGACTAAAATTGAGCTTGTACCCACAGCGAAGCTGAGCACAATGAAGCTGAGGATCTGGACCAGCTGGACAGGACAGAGGGCGTGCCCGGGTGCCTCACACCGTGGTTGTGATCCAGAGACTCTGAGCAAGCTGCCTTGCCTCGCTGAGCCTTGTTTTCCTCACCTGAAAAGATTTGTTGTGAGGACTGATGTAAAGTAGAAGATACCTTGCAGGTGATAAGAACTTAGTGAGTAGAAATTCCCTCCTTTAGTACCAGGCTATGAAGAAATTCTGTGGAGGGAATGAACAAGGTCCCCTGGGAGCCCAATAAGCTTTTTAAAGGGCCTCCCTGGTGGCACAGGGTTTAAAGTCTCAGCACTATCAAGCTATCACCAGCCACTGTGTCCTAAGTTTGATCCCCAGCCAGGGAGCTGACCCACATGGCGCAGCAGACCTCTCCTATCTCACCTGCTGCTCCCCTCAGCAGTGTTTGAGCAGACCCACCTGTTCTGCTCCCCACTCTTTCTCTGGTAAATCCTCTCACCTTTCCCACACCTCTGGCCTATACCATAGTTCTTGTATACATAAGTAAATAAAAATAAATCTTAAAAAAAGCTGGGAAGTTTTTCTAAGTACTCTAAAGATCTGAAGTGCATTTGATGATTAGGAGTAGGGAATGCAATGTATTTTCAGCAGGAATTAAAAGTATATTCAAATGCACTTGATCCCTTTAAAAAAAAAAAAAGTATCATTCATCTGTCCCAGGCCTGAGCACAGAGCTTCAGACACAAAGGATTCTCCACAAAGATTACCTGAGGGTAAAACAGAACTTTCCAGTCAGTGGGCAGTGCTTAGGCCTCTTTCTTCCACTGACCTGGCCTAACTCCCAATAGCCTCTCCATCCCTGAATGGGCAGAAGTTCTTAACAACCTTGGAGAAGGATGATCTGAATTTTAGTCCAGTTCTCTGTCCAACAGGTCAACTCAGGTAATAGACATCACAGCTCAGGTTTGGACAACACCATCTGTGAACTTGAGGACGTTTAGGGTCCATAGATAAAGGTAGGAGGCTCACCACACAGCTAGCAATTAGGATGGTTTTTAGGGACAGGTTTTTGGGTGTTTTTTAAAAATATTTATTCATTTATGCGTAGAACAGGGTTGTAGGTATCTACCCAAAAGACACAAAAACAGATTGAAAAAGATACCTGCACCCCCATGTTTATTGCTGCTTTATTTACAATTGGAAAAACATGGAAGCAGCCCAAATGCCCAAAAGTAGATGACTGGATTAAAAAGATGTGGTACATATACACAATGGAATATTACTCAGCAACCAAAAAAGAGAAACACATGTCTTTTGCAGCAACTTGGATGGAGCTGGAAAAGATCATGCTTAGTGAGATAAGCCAGAAAGAGAGAGAAAAATACCGGATGGTTTCGCTCATAGCAGGAGTATAATGGACCAGGCGAGAAAATAGTAAGAATAATGAACAGCTATATACCAGAGACATTTGGGGGGGGTGGAGTGGGGAATGGGATCAAAAAGGGGGGGGGGGTGGGGAGGGAAGTGCACGGGATTATGGTGATGACACACAGGTGACTTGGTGATGGGAAACCTGCAGAGATTACAATTGAGATGAAAAAAAAAAGTACAAAATGATGTAAAAATAAACATATTATATATATAAAAAAAACCAGGGGTGCAGAAGCAGTGAGAAGATTCATCAGAGACAGTGGGGAGCAGAACAGGGAGACTGACTGAAATACACTGCTGAGGGGAGCAGCAGGTGAGATAGGAGAGGTCTGCTGTGCCCTGTGGGTCAGCTGCCTGGCTGAGGGTCAAACTCAGGCTGCAGAGGCGATAGCTCTGAGATGTAACCCTTAGGCCACCAGGAAGGCCAAGGGACAGGTTTGAGGCAGACTGTCATTTAGCTTCCCAACCTCAGGCAAGATTCTTGCTCTCTGGGCTTCAATTTGTTGTCCATAAAGGAGGGCTAACAAATTATCTAGTTTGTGGTTGGGAGGATCCAATGAGATTGTCTGGAAAGAGCCTTGAGCCTGGTACCACCTTAGCACTCAGTAACTGTTAATGTTTATGGTTATGATTACTGGAATGGGCTTCCAGGCAAGATTTCACATAAACTAAGAGTTCATGAGCGAGATTCCCCCTGGACTAAAGTATTTCTAACCCTTCTTTAGCTTAAAGATTTTATTTCTCAAGTCACATCTTCTCATCAAACACTCCTCCATTCTTCCCTCATGGCCTTGCCTTCCCTTTAATCTTTTTCCCTCCAACAATACAGTGGCCTCTCCATAATCTCATCACTTCTCGTTCCTAGATTAAATGCAACATCCTGTTTTTTATTGCAAAAATGGGGAGACTAAGCCACACAATCAGAAACGAGTCCATGGCTATAAGTGACTTGCTAGGTTGGCATCCCAACTGCCCCTGCCCCTCTCCTAGGGGTCCCCATTCCTGTGGGTCACAGCCTGAGGATACCAAGACCAGCCCTCCAGGGGAGAAGGTCGTGTGTGGGTGGAGGCGGGACTGGGGGCTTTCGAGAGACTGCAAGAGGTAACATGTAAGAAGTGGAAAGTTCCCAGGAACAGTTTGGGCGAGAGGGACTGAGGCTTCTCTGCAGCCACTGAGGACGCCAAGACCCCAAAGCCTTTCCTGTTTCTAGACACAGTGCCAAGGTGGGGCGTGGGGGGCAGAACTGGTGGAATGAAAACAAGCCACCAAAAGTCTGGCAGCAGTTGATCAAGTAAGAGGTTTCTCTATTTCATTTTTTGATAGTGTGGTTATATTGCTTGTATAAAATTTAAATGTTTAAAATCATTATTCACTTGTGCTCCACCAAGAAAACAGACCTGAACCTAGAAAGACTGTCGTGGCTCCACTGAAAAGCAGCAGGCCCCAAACTCAAAGGGAAACATCCGAACGTGTGGCTTGCATGCCAGGGTCCCCAGGGCTTGCAGAGCCAGCTTAGAGGAAAGCCTGCCAAATGGCACCAGACAGCAGTGCTGGCAGGGCATGATGAGGCCAAGGAGGACTGAAGACTGCCTGGGTGGGAAGGGGAGGCGGGGAATGGGGTTGGGGGGGACCTCCCACAGCCAGCAAGAAGAGAGATGGAGGCCCATACCAGGAGCTGTGGTGCTCAGGGGCGACGAGGCAGTCAGGACCCCCACTTCAAGTTCTCTGCCACTAACTTGCAGTGTGAGCTCTGGGAAACCAGGTTACTCTCTGGGCCTCAGTCTACTCTGTAAAATGAAGGACTTCGTTAACCACCAGATGCTCACTCTATGCTGTGCTAAAGCTGTGAGTAATACCAAGAGTAAGACACTCAGTTATTCAAACAACATCAAGGCTGGTGACTACAGAGATGAATCTGTCAGCGTCTCTGGCAAGACATTCACAACCCGGTCAGAAGAGGGTGAGCAAACAAGAAATGACTAAGCACACTCTCAGTGCAGAAAGGGGTGTGGGTTCAATGGGGTGTGGCCTATTCTCCTGGGCCAGGCAGGGGAGGCATCAAATACCCAATCGCACAAAACACAGAGGTGGGTGGGAGGCAGAGGTGAGAAGAGCTTTAGGGGAAATAGCATTGAGATTAGCCTGGAAGGATGAAGAGCTTTTGTGAGAGTCCTGGGGGTGGGGATCACAGAGATAAAGGCACCGGTGGGGTGGAGAGGGCAGGCAGGCAGACCAGTGGGGACAGCAGGGCTGGAAGCCGTTATAAGAGCCATTGGAGGTGTCAGGCCGGCCAAGCGCTATACATCCTCAGGCCAGTTCCCAGAGGCAGGTCCCCTCCCGGCTGCCTCATTCTTTCAGAGAAGGAATCAGCTTCCGTGGTTATAAGGTCACCTGGCTGCCGAGTTGATGGGCAGCAGCAAGAGCACTTAACCCAGGTGTGTCTGACCTCACCCCTGGAATGCCAGTGGCACTACCAAGCCCTCCCATCTAAGGTACCACTGTCCCAGACACCTGGCCGGGCATTTCACTTCAGACACATGGGTGCATTGCCCACGGAAGCAGGCTTGATTCAGCTTCCTCCTGGGATAGCTAAGGAGTGAGCGGGATCTCTGGCACCCAGAGGGGATGGGGTTAGGCAGGAAATATTAAAACTGCGAAGGGTTGGCATGCTCCGTAGTCCACTGGTGGCCATTTATTACTGTTCTACCACTTAGGCCAGCTAGTGTCGAGTTCTGGTGTCAGTCCAGCTGTCGTGGCCTGGGGGCAGGTCATTCTGCCCTGACTAGCTCCGCTTCTTTTTCTTCTTAGGAAGATATTTGTGCTGTAAAATGTAAAGCCGGATGCTGTCCAGGTAGCGCTGCATGCTCGAGTATCGCCGTCTCCAGAGCCCCAGTTTTCTGAGCTGGTCCATCATGAACTTTTTTTTCAGTTGGTCGTGCAAGTGGCCCATCTTTTTCTTGGTCTTGTCTGTCGCTCTTATCTTACAAAAACAGAGGCGAGGTTAACGGGAAGAGCAAAAGAGGCATCTGTGCTAGAAAATGTACCAGCTGAGCTCATAGTCCATAATAATTTGGAGCACAGGGTATCTCAGTTCCCGTTTGTAAATGTGGGCACCGACGGAGACAACCCCTTTGGCTCTTTTTGACAGTCTGTGGCCTAGGAGCCTAATTTTGCCCCTAACATCTCTCTTTCCACATGGGTCAGGGATGGAGGTGCTGTCTCAAAAGTCAGTCCACATGAGCCACGGAGAGCGTCGCGAAGACCATGACTATGTGACACAGAGTTGAAAGTGCCTGGGTGGATCTTGGGAACAAGGATGGAGTGGTGAGGGAACAAGGGTCGGGGTGAGGGAGACTTTTGGCACTAAAACACACAGGTCAAATCAGTTCTCTCTAAATGTGGCTAAGCATCAGAAACATTTTGCTAAAGTAGAGTCCCCGTTGATTCTGGCCTCACAGCTCTCGTATGGTGCCGAGCAATGATTCTGACACAGCCACTGAGGAGCGGCGGCTCAGACTCGCCATCTCCCTGGGTCACCCCGGGAGAGCGGGCTTTGGGGCCACCAGAGCTAGGCCTGCACTTCCAGCCTCAACTGACCACAGAGTGGGGGTTCTCAGCCCTGGCACTGTGGTGCTGAGGTCAGGTGCCTGTGGTGGGAGGCAGGCCTGCACCTCACAGGAGACAGTGCTGCCTCCCTGCCCTATATTACCAGATGCCAGCAGCATCACCCCACACTCACAAGAGACAACACACTGTCCCCAGGTATTGCCAATGTTCCTTGAGGGCAAAACTGTCCTCACTTGGGCACCACAGTCATAGACAAATAAAGGAGTGTCAGTTAATCCATTGTTCTCAGAGCCTGCTCAGAGGATTGCCAAGATGCTAGATTTTAGCTGTTCTCCTTGAGAGCCTTAGAAATCAGTGGCCAGTCAAAGATGCCTCTTTCCTAAATGAGCACTTTTGTGGGACACAAAAACACCACCAGGCTGCCACTCAAGTCCCTTACAAAGTGGCCTCAGTAAGTCACTGAGTCTACAAACAACAGGGTGATCATCTCTGTCCTTGAGGGAGAACATTCTGTGCCACGGACCCAGCCCATCCATCTAGGTCAGTCAGACCCAGGTTTGCAATTCTGCAGTGACGCACCTGTCATCTTAGCAAAGTTACTCCACCTGAGCCTCAGTTTCCCGAACTATTAAATGGAATAACAATGAGTACATAAAACACAGCAGGGCTTAGTACCCTCTGGGAGGCTGAAGGATGGCATAACTGTCTGGTACATCTAAAGACAATTCAAGAGTTTCCAGTTATAGTACCTCAGAAGTTGGCCCATCCTGGGCTGGTCATAATACCCACAGTATCCTGCCACAGGGAAGGGTCCATGACCCAACTTGGGTCAACTGGACTCCTGCTCCAGGATTTGTCTCACTCGGGCAACAGTGGAAGCGTGGCACTTCCTTTCAGGCTACAGTCCAGGGCTCCCTGTGGTCAAGCTTCGCAGGACAGTCAGCCTGGGAGTGGTGATGCCAGCATACAGAAAGCAGAAATGGGATGACGGGGAAGAGCGGAAGACTGACCCTGGCTCTCTCATCCCAAATGTTGGGGACCCTGTCCCGATTCTGTATAGACTCAGTGTTCTCAATTTTGCTTAGATAAAGCTAGGTTTATGGCGCCAGCAACTGAGAGGGTCCCAATAGATCCTATTTTACAAATGAGACAATCCCATCAGAAATGTGATTCCCCACGGCTAGAGCTGGCTTGCCACCTCCAATCTGTCCTATCTCCAGTACACCAACTAGTGGAAATTTTACAGAGGGAGAACCATCCAGGCCCCTACTCTTCTTTACCGTCTCTGTGGCCCTTAAAAGCCTCCCCCACTCTTCAATGCCAGAATCCCATGGGCCCACCCAGATTTGTCTCTGAAATATGAGGGAAGTTGGACAACATCAACAGGGGGCCGCAGCCCAATGCTAAACTGCCTGGTCAGCTTGAAGAAAAGGGTTTGTTCTCAGAGCTTCTTCCAAGCAGCCCTTCAAGAGACATTTAAGGAGCTCGCCCATCAGTACCCCGGGCTGGGGTGACTGCACAGAGTTTCCCTCCCATTCTTTTGGATAAAGGTCAAAAGGAAAATAGGGAGACATCCATTCCCTGACTAGGAAGGTGATAGGCTTTAAGAGCTAAGAACACACGATCCTTTTCTCGGCTCCCTTTGCCCCAGGACAGCTGTGGGCATTAGTAATGCCAGTCTCAGCTGCCATCTGGAAAACGGGACTGAGGTTAGAGTACCTAGTGGCTCCCCATCAACTCTGGGATCTCTGGTCGCCCCTCCAGGGTGTGGGAGAGTAACAAGAAGAGGGATCAAGACACGGCACCCACTAATGCAAAAACTTGTCACAGCTTTACCTCCATCTCATAGATTCGCTGTACACTGAAGTTGTCATGAATAATCACTCGAGATAACTGGCTCTTGGGTAAAAACTTTTTCACCGCTGCTTCGCTGGAATTCATTAGGCTGCAGGAGGAGGGAAAGGGGAACAGGTTGACGCCAGGCTCAGCACAGGCGCTGATTCAGCGGGCTCCCGGGAAAGTGGGTGAACTTCCCAGGTTTCTCAGGAGAGGCACAGCTCTCATGATCGTCACAGGAGGAAGGGCGCAGGCCAAGTTTCTTATGGAAAATGTACACTAAGGGGCTGTTTCTTGGAGGCTGAGAGGAAAAGTCATCCTGAGAGGGTATAAAGAGTCTCAGAGCAGTTCACACATGTCACTGGGGACTCAGAACTGTGCACAGCAGTAGTCACTTAAGGAGAAAATGCAGGATGAGCTGAAAAGGGGCACTAGCTCCAGATTCCAGACCTAAGGGGGATCCAAGGAGCTCCAAGAGGGGAGGGAGAATGCAAATAAAACAACAAAGTTTTAGACAGGTTAGACTTATTAATAGGGGAAAACTAAGAAAAAGGGGTTTGAAAACATCTATAAATGAAGCTTGGGCTGGACAAAATTTTTGAGGAGATTCTACAGAGTGAGAGAAGATGGGGGTGGGTGGGCTGGAGTACAGTGGGATGGAACCCCATACTCCAGCTAAAACTAGAGTTAACAATGTGGTCAAAATGAGGAATTGGTCAAAAATGGGTAATACCAGGCAAGGTGCTTTCACTTTTTATCAATTTGGTTATAACATGAAATAGTTTTGTCCACTTAAAAATAATTGTTCATTTCCTTTCAAAAATTTCTAAGTGCACAATAATGTACATTAGATGTACAATGTAATATAAATGAAGATGTTGGGTTGTGGTTAGGTCAGAAGATGAAATACTATGCAGTTATAACCGAGGCTATGGTTTTACAAATGTTTTGCATTTACTAAATAGTAATAACACAAGCTTCCAATCTCCCATTTACTTTTTTTCTACCAGAAAAAGTTGCTTTAAGAGATATCGAATGCAAAAGTTCCTTAAGTGTTGTTTAAAACAATCCCTTTCACGTAATAAAAAATGGGCATAATGGGCACGATAGTTGAACCAAACTGCTTTCCAATACAAACTCTGGGGGGCAGAAGGTAAAGGAAGGGGAAGAGGAAAGGGTGGTGGTTGTGGGGACTGGGGCCAGGCTGAGAGAATTAGGGGAAAACAGATGATCTGGAGAGGGATGTGAGGATGGGGAGGGGGAGCGCAGCCTGGTTCCAAGAAGTTCATAACTCCCAAAGGGCGCTGGGACTCCTCCAGCGACGCCAGGCCTGGGAGACTAAAGGGCGGAGGCCAGCCGGCGACTGTGTGAGCTGGAGGTGGGAATTCCAGCTACTCCCCAGAATCTGGGCTGAGGATAAGCGGGCTCCGGGGTGCTGCGGGCCCGAGAACTGGACTCGAAGGAGCCAGGGCCGACTATGAGCCAGTCCAGGTCCCTGAGGCGTCTACAAAGGCCAAGGGACCAGGGCCCGCCTTGGGGAGCAGGGCTCTGAGGGAGTCCGGGCATTGCGGGGGCCCTGGGGTCGGACCCACGAGCTGGGCTCCCGGGCCGCACCTGAAGAGCACCGGCGGACAGGTGGCCCTGGGCCGCAGGAAGCGGATCTTAGGCGCGACCCCTAACTCGGTATCACGGCGGAGGGTGATCCTGCTGCGCGAGAAAAAGACCGCGGGCGGGTTGATGCCGGAGCTGGAGGTCGCCGGGGCGAAAGCCACAGGGAAGCCCCGGTTCCCGGAGGCCACGCGCTCGTGCTGCGGGGAACCTGCCGCGTCCTCCCCGTCGGAGAACAGTTCCGGAACAGGTGCCAGGGCAGAAGCCATCTCGGCGGGGGGGCGCGCTCGCGGCGTTCCGGGCCGACCCGGGCGCAGAGCGCGGCGCCGCCGGAAGACGCGGAGGAGGCGGGACCAGGAGGGAGCTTCACGCCCAGCCCGGAAGCCGCGGCCGCCGCGACGCAGCATTGTCCCTCCGCGGTCGCCACGGTGCGGCCCGCGCGTTGCCTTGGAGACGGGCGGGGCCGGAGGGCGTGGGCTGCGGAGCGCCGGGCAGCAGGACTTTCCCGCTGGGAATGCTGCGCCCAGGTGCGATCGCGGGACAGGTAACTGGGACGTCCAGTGGGGATCGGGGGCGGGTCGCTCCGGGGAGCGGAATCGAAACCCGGTTTTTATTCCCAAGACCCGGGTGGACGAATGGTCCCAGCGGTATGGGACCATAGCTAGAAAAACCAGAGCAGGGAATGTGGCTCCGGGATTCTGACCGGTCTTTTCTCCTTGAGACCCTCGTCTAAGGCTTCGGACGAGGTTGCTACCTGAACGAACCTGCCTGCCCGCCCGCCGCGAGAGATAGGTGAGACCTTGGGATCTTGACACCCAACTGGCGAAGAACCCCATTCTAACGCCAGCTCCCCAGAAAACCTTCCTGGCTCACGCCCTGGAGGTGGCATATCGCTCCCTTCAATTTGTGGACTTTGTTCCACGTTTATAATCCGGTGTTGAACGGTGCTTGCCGACACTCCCTACCAGCTTTCAGACCTTGCTTGCAGGTGACCCTAGATAGGTCCTTTCCCCCGTCTCTGCTTCATTTCCCGCGTGTATAAAATGGAAATTTTACTTCTAGACTGCGCCCTATTATGTAGCTCTGAAAAAATTGGACCAGGTGTGAGGGAAGCCACACCCCTCTCCTCTCTTCTCTCTCCCCCCTATAATTTCTTTAGATTTTTGTTATTTCTATCTCCTTGACTCCCTACCTCCTCACCAAGCAGAAAGAAATCCCTTTACTATTTCCTCCCATGATGCCCCTAATCGCAGCAAGAGTGCTTATCATTTATAGTGGACTTGCTCTTTGCCAGGCCCTGTTAAGCACTTTACTGGGGTTACTCTCTTAATCCTCAGAAGATCCTTAGAAAGTAGGCACTGTTCTCTGTTTTCCAGTTCTGCTGTGCCTGTAATTGCCTGTGTAACGTCTGACTCTGCCAGTAGACTTTAAGCTCTGTGAGGGAGAGGGGCCCCGGTGTCTTGAGTAACAAAAATGACTCTTCACTACCCTTATCTCAAGAGGAGATCCTCCACAAAGTGCATCCATCTCTTTTATTTCTGTTTCCCACTGGGCACCTTGGTCAACTTCTGTGGGTTTTTGGATGATGAGGATCTGGCACATCCCTCAGCATTTAGGATTACAACTGGGGGGTTGGGGGAGAAAGACTTTTTCTTTGCCTTCACATGACTTTTTAGAGCAAGCCAGCCCCACCCTCCCTTGCTGTGCTAAGCCTGATATTTTGACACAAAGCCTTCTCCTCCAGTACCCAGGGCCTCCCTGAAATCCTAGAGAAACATCCTTCCCAGAAATCCTTACAGAAGACACAGTAGTGGTGGTTGGAATTATCTTTTCATTCAACAAATATTCCAGCACCTACATGTAGGAATGTATGGAGCTTGGCACCACTGATACAGATCAAGGCAAAACCGCGCCTGCCGTGTGTTAGGAAGGAGAGTAAGTAGGGGTCAGAAAGCCTGGAGCAAGGGCTTGATGGGATGTGGGGAAGGGGCTGTCCCAGGAGGTTACCCTCAGAAAGATGCCCTCGGCTAAGATCCCAAAGCTCGCCAGACCTCTGCTGAATGGAAAGGGGGTGCTAGGCTGAAAAAACAGCAAAAGCAAAGGCTCCAGATGTCTCTAGGGCCAAATGTCTGCAAGGAACTGCAGGGCTCTGCCTAGTTGAAGCCCTTCAGCACGTAGGGAAGGCTGATAGTGGACAGGAGCCAGGCCACTAATGGTCTTGACATCCAAGATAAGGCGCTCCATCTCATCTTGGTGGTGGTAGCCAGTGAAATGTGTTAAGAAGTGGAAGAGAACTTCGACCTCATTTCTCTGTGTCTGATGAAGACTGCAGTTGGCTTGGAGAGGTATTATCTAAATCCAGATGCTCCTGTTTCAGTGAAATTCACAAAGATGCATTCAAGCTTGAGGTTGTGGGCCCTGAGATTTTCTACAAGACAGGAGTCTGCCCCCTCTGGGGTACGTGCGCCGCCCTGCTGCACACAGGCCATGCTAGTGTGGCTTGTGTACCTGAGTTCAGAGGAACTTCTGTGTTTGTCTCTGGGGTCTGCCATGGTGCCAGCTGGTTTCCAGGAAGCTTTCAATGACTCCCTTCCCCTGGCAAGGCGCAGGGGCAAGGTCAGTGATGTTGAACTCCATAATGGCCAGCCACCGTTACATGGGCACATTCTGTCTCTTCAGAGAGCTGGTTCTTGAAGAGCAGATGCTGGGACTCCTCCGCCCCCCACTTAAATTCCCCAGAGACTGTCAACTCTGGGCTCTGATTCCATTTCATTGATTCAAGTGTCATGATTTGGGTATAAACTCAGAAGACTTGAGGAGAGAAACTGTGCAGGTGGTTCCCACTTCTGAGAGACTGGAAGGAAGGAAATGATTTGGGAAAACAGGGCTGAGTTTCAGGCTGAGAATCAGGCCAGCGCACACCTGAGGGACACAAGTCAGCCTGTCCATCCTAGAAATGTGAGACCCCGTCAAGGGGGCCTTGAGTGCCAGGCACGCTAGACTTGCCGAGAAGCATGCTGAAAATGCAGTTTGTGCCTCTTACCCTGAGTCTGAGTCAGTGGGTTTAGAGAGGAGGCTGGGATCTGCATTCAGTTAGTAGTTCCCTGGGTGCTTCCTCTGGTGGTCAAAGCACCACTGGGAAATCCTGCCACAGACCTGGCCATCCATTTCTCTGAAATCCCTGGGAGTTGGCCAGCTGGGCTCCTCCCGGTAAACATCCTCTTCTTCCTTGCAGTTTTCTGTGGACACAACGTAGCAGCAAGATGCAGTCTTTATGCCTCACTGGCTGCTGACCCACCAGCCTCATGACATCAGCCCCGTGTGCCTTCCCGGTTCAGTTCCGGCAGCCCTCAGTCTCTGGCCTCTCCAAGATCACCAGCAGCCTATATATCAGTAATGGGGTAGCCGCCAACAACAAGCTCATGCTCTCCAGCCACCAGATCACCACAGTAGTCAACGTCTCGGTGGAGGTGGTGAACACCTTGTACGAGGACATCCAGTATGTGCAGGTGCCTGTGGCTGACACGCCCATCTCGCGTCTCTGTGACTTCTTTGACCCCATTGCTGACCACATCCACAGTGTGGAGATGAAGCAGGGCCGCACGCTGCTGCACTGTGCCGCTGGGGTGAGCCGCTCTGCCGCCCTCTGCCTCGCCTACCTCATGAAGTACCACGCCATGTCTCTGCTAGATGCCCATACGTGGGCCAAGTCATGCCGGCCGATCATACGGCCCAACAGCGGCTTTTGGGAGCAGCTCGTCCACTATGAGTTCCAGCTGTTTGGCAAGAACACTGTGCACATGGTCAGCTCCCCAGTGGGAGTGATCCCCGACATCTATGAGAAGGAGGTCCGCTTGATGATTCCACTGTGAAGCCTCCTGCCACCCCCTGCACTGCAGTCAGAGGGACAGGTCTGCCATGACTCCTTATGAAGATCTTAACTTGAGCATCCTACTCTTATTGATACAGAAGAAGCAGGTGATGCCTTTCCTAATGGGGAGAAAGAAGAACACTGCAGAGTTTACTCTTGTAACCCTGACAAGCTAAAGTGGTGAAGACAGAAGCTTCCTATGTCAGGAGGGGCTCATCAGTCTGCTGGCTAGGGAGGAGTGTGAGGCCAGCGGTGTCCGGATCTAACGGACCAGCGCGGCGCACAGGGCAGACCTCACTCCTGCAGCCTCCCCAGACTGGCTAACTGGGACCAAGTCTGCCTCGGCCCCCCCTTCATTCTTGCCGTACCCAGAGCCCAGGCCTTACGCATCACGGTGTCCCCGACACTGCTCACAGTAAGTGCCAGCCTGCCGGATAAATAGCCTTCAAGGGTGCTCCGGCAGATGGGGGGCCCCAGGCCAGCCCTGCTTCCATGTTCAACCACAGGGTCCCAACTCTGGTTTTCTACAATGATTTTAGGCATAAAATAGTCTTCAAAGAAATGTATAAAATGTTTTTTAAACTCCTTTTTTGAGTGTTGTTGTACTTGGTAAGGCCTCAAGGCACCACTGTCACTTCCGTGGCATCTTTGATGAAAGTGGCTTCCGTCGTCTTCTCCAGCACCTGTGGAAAACAGGCCTAACTGCAGGCCGTGAGTCGCCCTCACAGACCTCGACTCAGAAGATGGGAGCTGTGGACTGGCACCAGCCTTGTCACCTCCTCTCTGATCCCTCCTGGAGCCTCTATCCCCTCATCTGTCTGCGCAACAAAGCCCTTTTCCCACAGCGTTGTTGTGAAGAATCAGCAATGCCTTAGCAGGGCACCTGGCACGGAGCATGGCACCCAGTGGAGCTGAGCTCATGAATGAGGCGTAGCCCAGCTGGTCCCGTCAGCACAGTTTTCCTCATAGTGGCATTTTCCCCACCCATGCACAGTCCTTTGTTCTTTACAAAATGTTTTTCCAAAAAGTAATCCTATTTGGGAAAAAAAAAATGGTTCAGTGCTGTCAGACCCTACCTCGGAGGAGGCCTAAACTTCTAAGCCTCTCAGGATTCCTGTGGTGTTTTTGCCATGTACCCCCTGGGGAGCAAGGAGCACAATTACAAAAGGCCTGTGGCCATTAGATTGCTGACCATTAGAGCCAGTGGCCAGTCTGGCCAGCTACTGGGGTGGACAGGGGTATGTGCCAAAGAGACAAGTGTGGAGGTGCCCCCCAGCAGGCCCTGAAATCCAGGATTGTTCAGACACCCCAGGTGCCTCAGGATCTGGCTGAAGACCAGCTGTTCTATTCCAGATAATACATGAAACACAAAAGCACAACTGTTTTGGGTCCAGAGTCCAGTGGAGGCCAAATGCCCTCGCTCCAAACTAAAACCTCACCCCTACTTCCACAAAGGAGTGCACTTGTAGGGTAGAGGGAGAAGGAAAATCACTGCAGTAGACTGACCCTCTCACCTTACAGGTCCACAAACACCAGGGTGCTGTGGCAGAGCCACCGGGGAACCCCCTTCCTGGGACAAACCCACACAGACGCTTTCTCTTAAAGCAGTTTTAAGGAAAGTTATTTAAGACCATTTTGTTTCCACTTAAAATGTTGTTTCATTGACAAACCATAAGTTCCTCGTGTGTAATCCTGTGTTGTAACATTTGTAGAATCACTTCCATAGTCAAGACTCAGCCATTCCACCCCCCCCCAAAATTCCCATATGTACCCCTGTATAATCAAACTCACTCTGCCAGCTGGTAAAAGATGTGCTCCATATTTATTGATTTTCCTTTTCCTGGATGTCCTAGACACAGATTCATGGAGGATCTAACCTCTATGCTTTCGAGATTACATGCTCATTTTCATACATGTTCATTTTCATACATGTTCATTTTCATGGCTAAGTGGTATGCCATTCGATGGATGCCCCATAGCTTTGTATTAAGCTGTTGATGGATATTTGGGGTTGGTTCCATTTTTTTGGTGATTTTTGAATAAAACAGCTATGAATATTTGTGCATGGGTTTTTGTGTGAACGTCAGTTTCCATTCACTTAGCATTTATATAAAGTGGAATTGCAGATGGTTAAGAAAAACTTAACTTTATAAAAACTTAACTTTATAAAAACTTTATAAAAACTGGGGGCTCTCCCATTTGGCATTCCACTACACGAGCGCCCACCTCTCTGGATCTGGCAGTGTTTTTGATATTGCCAATTCATATATTTTTCAGCTATTCTGCTTGGTGTTGGTATTACCCAACACTGTGGCTTTAATTTGCATTTCCCTCACCATCAGTGATGTGAAGTATTTTCTTGCCAACTTAACTGCCTTTCGCCTGCCCTCTTTGGTGAAGTCTATTCAGCTCTTTTGCCAAATCAATGTTTTATTTGCTGTTGATTTCAGCTTGCTGTTGAATGTTGAAAATTCTCCATATCTTCTGGATACAAGTTAACTGTTAAGATTTGTCAGTATTCTCCCCAGTCTAGTTTGTCTTTCTAGCCTCTTAAAGTTGTCTTTTGCAAAACAAAATTTTTAATTTTGTCGCTACTTACCAGTTTTTCCTTTTATATATTGGTTTTGTGTCATGTGTTAAGAGCTCTTTGCCTAACCCCTGGTCACAAAGATTTTCCTGGATATTTTAAAGTTTAAGATTTTTCACTTATCTCTCTGATTCTTTTCTATAAGGTGTGAGGTTTAACTTTTTTTTGCATGTGGTTGTTTAATAATTTCAGCTCAATTTGCTGAAAACTATTCTCCACTGAAATGCCTCTGCACATTTGTGAAGGTCTGTTTTTCTGCTCTGTTCTGTTTAATATATATATATATATCTTTCTGTTCACTACCTTTTCATTTGGTTTTTCTTTTTGACACTGTCTTGATTACTGTAGCTTTATAGTAAGTCTTATAATCAGGTAGTATGACTCCTCCAATTTTCTCCCTTTGAAAAGAATTATTTTGGTTATTCTGGTGTCTGCCTTTCCATGTAAATTTTTTAAATTAGTTTGTACAAGTCAGCAACAACCCAGAAATCTGGCTGGGACTTCAACTGAAATTACGTTAAATGCAGTGGCCAGTTTAGGGGAGAATTGGCACCTTCACTCTTGAGTCTTCTGATCTATTGCCTCCCATTGATTTAGGTCTTTGATGTCTTTCATCAGTGTTGTAATTTTCATTCTACAAATCTAATATATTTTATCATAGATGTACCTAAAGAGTTCATTTGAGGGAAAGGATTGCAAAAATATTTTTTAATTTGAGTTTCCAGTTGTTCATAGTATATAGAAAGGCATTTGATTGTATGTTGACTTTGTGTCCTGTGACCTTGCTAAATTCACTTAGTCTCAGAATATTTTTGTAGATTTCTTGCCAATCTGCATGTAGACAACCAGGTTACCTACAAATAGAAATAGTTTTATTTATTCCTTTCCAATCTGAATGTCTTTGATTCATTTTTCTATATATTTTTTTCTTATTACACTGGCTAGGACTTCCAGTATGAATATGAATGATAAAATAGACATTCTTGCCTCCTTCCTGATCTTAGAAAGTCATCAGTCATCACCATAAACTGTGATGCCAGCTGTAAGTTGTTTGTAGATGTCCTTTATTAAGTTAAGGAAGAGTTGGAAAGCATTGTCTCCTGTTTTCTGGAAGAGATGTGTGAATTTAGTATTATTTATTCTTTAAGTGGTAGAACTCACCAACCATCTGGACCTTGAGATTTCTTTTTCTTTTCTTTTCCAGAAGACTTTAACAATTAATTTGATTCCTTGAATAGTTATAGGGTATTTACTTCATCTAGGGTTAGTTTTGAACAGTTTGTCATTTTAAGGAATAAGTCCATTTCACCTATTATCAAATTATACATGTAGACTTGTTTGTAGTATTTCCTTCCTTATCTTTTATTATCTTCAGGGTCTGTAGTGGTATTACCTTTTCATTCTTAATTATGATCATTTGTCTTCTCTGCTTTCTTATTAGTCTGGCTAGAGGTTTATCACTTTTAAAATCTTTTGAAAGAACTACCTACCTTGTGCTCTATTTAACGTTCTCTGTTCTTCCCTTAAAAAAAAAAAGCCCTCCCTGGTGGCACAGCGGGTTAAAGCACAGTACAAAGAAGCTTAAACCACTTCTGCATGAGTTCCATCCCCGCCTGCCCCGGAGGTGACCACATGAGGTGACCACATGGCGCGGCAGACCTCTCCTGACCCGCCCGCTGCTCCCCTCAGCAGTGTACTTCGTAGATCTGCCTGTTCTGCTCTCCGCTCTGTCTCTGGTGAATCCTCTCACCCTCTGCATCTCTGGCCTGTACCCCAGTTCTGTATGAATAAATAAATAAATCTTTAAAAAAAAAAAGATTTACTTATTTATGTATACAGAACTGGGGTACAGACCAGAGGTGTAGGGGTGGTGAGAGGATTCACCAGAGACAGAGCAGGAGGCAGAACAGGCAGATCTACTGAAACACACCGCTGAGGGGAGCAGCGGTGGGGTCAGGTGAGGTCTGCTGCACCATGTGGGTTACCTCCCTGATGCAGGATCGAGCTTGTGCTGCAGTGGCTGCGGGTAGCTTCATAGTGCTGTGCTTTAACCCGCTCTACCACCAGGGTGGCCCTATTCTTCTCTTTTATATTTTATTGATTTCCATAGTTATGCTTGCTTCTGATTTATTTGGTTCTTTTCCCCCTGACTTTATTTTTGCTTTCCCCCCCAATTTTGTAAAGTGACCATTTAGATTATCTATTTGAGACCTGTTTGCATATATGTCTGATAGGCTGCATCTGCCTTCTTATTCCTTAAAAATACAGATCTTCCTCATGTTATGGTGGGGTTATGTCCCAGTTAACTGATCATAAAATGAAAATATAATTGGAAAATGTAGCTAACTCCCCTAATCCGCTGAACATCACGCCTTACCCTGGCCCACCTGAACTGTGCTCAGAACACTTAGACTCCAGCTCTGTCACACGTCGGCTGTCCGCCCTCTTGACTTTACGGCTGACGAGGAGCTGCGGCTCACTGCCTCTGCCTGATGTTGTAAGCTATTGTACCCCATAGGACCAGCCTGCAAAGAG